ACTCTTTCAAGTCAAACCAATGAAACCTACCAAGCTGAATTAAGAAACTCTGCTTGCCAAATATAGGTTAGTTTAAATGCATAACTGTTGCATTGATGTAAGAAAATAAGTGGTTGTCCTCAAGCCTAATTTTAAATCTAAATAGACCAAAAGGAGGGTGTAGTGTTAACCCAAAAATCTCAAGAACCACGATCTTAGATTCAACTTTAGATAAACCAATCCTACATATGCATTAGCTATGCTCATCTAGAGCAAACTCGGTTCAAAATGCCTCTAGCAGGCTTACTCGTGAGTAACAATTTTACCTTCGGAACAAAAACCTAATTTTCTCTCTCTCTTTTCTCTCTCTCACACATTTCCTTCCAAAACCTTATATATTGTAACTATCCTTTAAATTAAAACTTATCCAGTCAATTTATAAATTTCATTTTATCACACACACACACACACACACACACACACACACACACACACACACACACAAATGTTTTAATGAGAGACAATCTTTCAAGGATGCCTCAAAATATATTATGAGCCATTTATCTATCACTCTTAGTCCTTATAATCAATAAATTTTCAATCCAAATTATAGCTAATTAACTAAAATTATTTCTAATTAAACATCAATAAGCTTAAATTTTACCCAACTAAGTCTACATAAGCAAATATTTACATGATCATGACCAAACCGCTTACCTCTTTTTTGGGAGAGTTGGCTTTGAAGAAGCCTAAAATAATAAAAAAAAAGAATATAAAATTCTATGAGATTTAAAGTAAACCCAATGTGTGAGCTAATACAAGATAAATTTAAAATATATTGTTGAGATTTCCTTTAAATGATTATAAAAAACAAAGTTTTCATAAGGACAATCCACCCATGATTAAGTATATTCCAAATTTGATGCTAGGAAACATTGAATTAAAAAATTTAGCATGTGTTCTTCATTCAATAAGAAAACCATAAGAAGCATGTATTCAAAAGAAAGATAAAGACTCAAAAGGATCAAACAAATGAAAGGCATCAAGATCGATCAAATAATGAAGTGGCTAGTGTTTAAATACAATAAAAGAGAGTTTAAAATTTTCTCTAGAGGACCTAAAATAAAGTCGAGTTGATTAAACTTGTCAAAAAGAAGATGCATAAGAGAAAACTAGGGGCTTATTATCGTCCAAGGGCGATGCATAAAAATGAGAAAGAGAATTATAATATTCTAAAGAATAATGTCAAGTGTATGGGATCTAATAATTCATTAAAATATTATTATCAAAAAAGGTAATGAATTTATGCTAGTTGCAAAAAAAATTAACCCAAACAACTATATTTACATTTTCACAATAACTTATAACAAAAGGCTCAAACTAATTTCTTAATATCCCAAAAGGTATTTGCTTTTGAATGGCATGGAGATGAAAACTTAACATTATATAATAATTAGAGATAGCCGCCCCAAGTCGAATCATAAATAACCAACCAGGTTGCATGTCTTCCAAGAGATAATACAATCACATGCTATGAATGTTGCAAAACCCCAGTCTAACATATGTACCACATATTACAAGAACTTCATTGATATATAATAAGCTCATGACTTTCAAAATCTTAATATGTTCACATCTCATTTTGTAGAATGATGGTTAAGTGCCTATAAAGTTTAAAAGAGTTTCATCTTTTTAATAAAAAATTTACTCAATAACCTTTTTTTGTTTATTCAATAAATCTTTATTTATTGTTAGAAAAAATAATAGAAGGGGCATATATAATGCTTTATGACCCTCTATTTAATAAGCTTATCACTTAATATAAATATTGAAAGGCTTTATTATCAATCAAAGTGGTTCTTTATTAACTCATTATGACATCTTTTATTGCAAATTTTAAATAGCATATTACCAAGACGCCTAGACATAAATAACAACAAATGAAATACAAATTATAGGATGAGTATACATGATTTAAAATGCAAAAGTGTGCAAATGTATAAATACTTACGTTAAGCGGAGTTAAAATGCAATCAAGCAAGCCATACAACAATGTCAATTTGTAGAAGCAACATCTAATTATAATGCTCAAATGATTATAAAATAAAATAAAATAAATAGTCAAATAGTCATAACAACTTAAGAAAGTGCAAAGAAAAATACTTTGTAACGAACAAGTCAAATTTCTTTAATTTTTAACATCTATCCCTAATTATTAAAAAAATAGATATAATTTTTTATAAAAATAGAAACTTAGATTTGACACCTAAAATTGATCCCTAAGAAATTTCACAGATGAATGAATAAGTAAAGACAGATTAGATCAAACTTCAATCAAGATTGATGAGCTTGATTTAATGTATATTTTCTCAAAGAAGTAGAAATTAATCTGTTGATTTGACACTTTCATTGGCTTTAATATAATTTTTAAATCCATTGTTTATCATGTTTTGTTGATGTTTATTCATACGAAAAAAATACTAATATGCTTCAATCTCAGCAAAAAATTTAAAAAAAATAATAAATCTACAAGTTAGTAGTGGGTGGCAACCAAAAGGAGTCAATGGTTTTGAAGTTAAAGTAGTTAGAGAGAAGGAAGAACAATATCTAGTTGGTTTTTCTATCATTTCATTGAGTAAGAAGAAAAAGTGTGAGGCTTCAAGGCCATTTACTCGATCATAGAGAATGAGTTTAAACTTGCAAGACAATGAGAAAAAAAGACAAGGTAAATAAAATAAAGGGGGGCAACACAACATTTTATTTGGTTAAACATATCAAATAAAGTCTGCTATGAAGGAGAGAACTAGTTTTGATGGGGCGGAAAATATGGTTTGCATAGCAAAATTGGAGGAGATTGGTAGTTTGGTTATAGCCAACAAATGATGAAATAACTAACTGATGAGAACTCATGAGAATGGCATGAAAATGTGAGAGACCGTCTTTCTAAAGGGGATGTTCTTGTCATTGAAATTTTTCCATGCTAGAAGTGGCCACATGAAATTATTATAGTGACCAAACTGGGCTATGATGAATGTGAGTGTGATGAGGGACAAAATGTGAAGTCTTTTACAGGTCAAAAAAGAAGAACGCCAGATGAAAATAAAAAGATGACTCTAGGTAGATGTGCTATAGCAATTCTATTCAAGGCCCCAAATCATCTGAACAATTTAGAAATGAAGAGAGTTTGGGAGGCCGTCCTTGGTTTGGCTAAAAAGGTTTGCTCCTGATACACATATCAAGTGAAGCTCAAACTAATCATTACTATGTAGTAGGACTGGCTTAACGTTATATATATTTTTTTTCAGAACTCAAGTTTAAACAAACTAGCACAATTATAAACCAAAAAAACCAAAATTCAAATTGAGGCATGTGAAAAGATTTGATGGCACTAAAAAATGAGATAATATAGTTTCCCTCACATCTAAAACCTATTTATAAGAGTTTTAAAATGTCGCAAGAACACCATTGGTGTGCATCCACTTCTTTTTTCTTTATTAAACGACTCTACTTCTTTGTTAATTCATAAACATATAGATTTGTGATCCTGACATATTCCAAGCCACCCTTCTTGATAGAAAGTGAAAATTAAAGAGGAACAAATGATGTTGACAATCATGTAGGAGGCTAAAACAAAGATTACATTGGAGGACCATGAAAAAATAAAAAATAAAAAGTGACGAGCAAAGAGATCACAATGAAGGTGACAATGTAAGAGTTATGGTGCATGTGGCAACAAAAGAGGCTACAACAAGAAAAACTACAGAAGCAGCCATCATGAAAGAAGTTGTCATATTAGCAATGAAGGGGTTGGCAATAAGGGGAAAGACTATATTGGTCACCATAAAATGAGGGTAGAAAAAGACTAGTTACGATAACAAAGGTGCTCAGAATAATAATTATAAAATTTGATACATTAAAAGTAGAGGAGACATGCATTCATAATTTAGTTGCAATGAAAGAAATAAAAGAATCAATAGTGTCAATGATAGACTACTATAACCCTTAGGTAAAGTAACCATCATCCAGTTTTATCAAGTTTCTTAAGGTATCTTAACCAGAATAAGCTCTGATTTTGCCCTTAGATGCTACTACTAGCTATCACCAAGGGTAATATCAACTTAAACAAGGAGATGGTGGGAAAGTGGTCAACTCCATGGGAAGAAGGTGACTAGTAGGCAACCCCTAGACATAGCTTTGACAGAGATATAAATCACTAGATCGCTCCCACCAACAATACGATCAACAATCTCAACTAACCCATCAAATAAGAGTTATGGAACGACTTGATGTTATCATATTAACCATAAATGAGTCGAATGAGTGGTCAATGGTCACAATGAGTAGTGAAAAAAACTATTCACGTGCAAGAAGGCAATAATCACAAGACAGTATTGGGCAATAATTTTCATTGAGGCTCTATTGTAATTAATACATCTGTGACCATAAGGAGATCACATAAAGAGTTAAGAGAAATATTATTGATCATCATCAATATTCTCACTGTCATTACATTTCATTTAGAAGTGACACCTAAAAACTATTAGCTAATCGAAGATTGATAACAGTTATTACCATTAATAGAGACATACAAGGTCGAACCTACCAAATGAGTAAGATTGAAGAGTAGAGGGAATACATTAAATTCAAGGACATGACAAATTGAGTTTAGCGTTCTATCAATCATTCCTAATCATCTTGGCTTGCCCTACTGAATTACCAACAAGAGTGGTGCTTGGGATCCTGTTGACAGTGTAGAGAGGCCACCTCCATAATCGAGTCCTACCATATGAATCAATCGGGCTTGCATTCAAAGCATAAAACTCAAGAGGATGAGTTATCTTCAATCCAAACACCTACTAGGATCTTGTCACTCATCTAAGTTGGTCACATTTGACAAAAAATCCCTTGACCTTTTATCTATCAACTTTCCTGAGTCAAAAGGCCAAGGATTTTTGTCAAAAAATAACATTGGAAAAAGAAAAAACATAGCATATTATAGAAGAAACTGTATGTCAGGGTCATCATCATAAAAAGTTTATTTTATTGATACAATTTGATAGATAAAGTGTGTATCTACTAATTGATAGTATAGTTGAAAGTGCCGCGAGCTTCTCTTAAAATGGAAAAAATGGTTTCATTATTTGAAGATTTTATCATCAGGTCCAACCACAACAGAATTACTGATTGCTGCTGTAGGGGTCATAATAATGATTTTTGTGGAGGAGAAGATTTGGAGATTTCGTCATACATATTTGCAATTGCTGTTGCAAAATAAGCCTTCGCTTGCGGTCTCTTGATCTATTAAAACACAGTATTAGGGTGAGAAGGTCAGTGCCTTTTGTAAGAAAATGGTTAAAAAGTAGGAGCATTCACATACATACCACCTAATTCACATTTTTTACATGTCTAATGCCTAAAGTTTGCTGTTAACATTTAAACCACCTGAATCTTTCATATCACATTAAAATACCACCATTTTAATTATAAAAAAAAGGTTAAATACTTTTCATTCATAGGTAAGGTGGTATATGTATGTAAAAATTGAACTTTAGAATGTTAGATATGTAAATACATAGGGGTTGAGTGGTATGTATGTAAATCTTTCTAAAAAGTAACCCAATAAAATGTCAAACGGTGAAGATAAATTGCCTTGAATGTTGGGGTGAGAAGGCCATTCTCCATGGTGAAAGGCTCCAGTACAAGTGTGACCGCTTTTGCAAATTCAAAACCTCTCAGCTGTTAAAAAAAGTGGAAATTTAGAAAATTTCTGCCAAAGATTCAAGTTTCATAAGGTGAGAGTGAAAGGACAAATGAAGTAGGATAAAATGACCTGAGCTTGCTTTCCTACTTCGTCCATCTCAGCAAGTACAGCGGCTCTTGCTCTTGGATCAGAACACAGTTGTTCAAGATTGTCATACTGCAAAAATAAATAAGTTGAATCATTTCAGCGAGAGTGAATAACAATAAAATCCGACAGATTAAAATTTTAATTTTAATTTGTTTTGGGAAATGAATAAATTGTATATCACAAATTCCTGTGATCTCAGGTACTAAAGCTTTCAGGCACTTGGCATTCTGTTTATGGAGTTCCCCGTATCTCACTGCTCCAGCAACTGCAAGATATCACAAATTCCCACAGTCAAAATCTCCACCGGCAATGAAATCTTCCTCCAACAGCCACAATCACCTCTGGCAACAAAATCATCTTGAGAACATTACCCCACAAATCAAGCTCAGCCACATAGGAGCAGCTGACCACAAAATCCAACTGTCACAATCTCCTGCAGCAATGAAATCTTCCTCCAACAGACAAAACCTCCTCTGGCAATAAAATCTCTCCAATCATAACTCCACAAATCAAGCACAAGCACATAGAAGCAGCTGTGCGTAAATCAGTGAAGTGAATACTTGGTGGAAAATAACTTGATTTCTATGTGGGTGAATTCATCATAAAAGGATGAAACAAACAGGTGCGGGTATCATTGAAGGCTGTGAGGGAAGGCATCAAAGCTGGGGAAATGGGGAGTGAAAACTTGTTGAAGTGAGAGTGGCGATGGTGGTGTACTCGATACCAAAGATGGGGGCGCTCACAAAGATGAGGGTGGCCACGCAGTCCTTGCTAGGGGAGGCATTAGTTTGGAGAAGGGTGTCCACAATTTGTACAGGGGCCATCATTAAGTCGTTGGTGGGGAAAGGCGTGCGTCTGCGGCGACAAGAGTGAGATTTTGTCCCTCTTTTGGGGATTAAAACCTGAAAGTGTTTGAAGGGATTGGTGGCACAGCAGTAGCGCTGTGACGAAGCTAGCGATGGGACAACGGATCATGATAACTGGCTTACTTTTTTTAAAGGGGAGGTGTTATTGAGCCTATTATAATGTTTTGGGCCTCATAAATATAAATATGAGTGAAATTTGTAATACAAATAGATTTGAGCCCTATTTATAAAAAAAAAACTCTCCTAAATACAATTGAGGAGAATTATGATTCCTAGACAAATAAGTAAGAGATCTAACTAGTAAGGAGTAAATACAGTTGCAAACAGAAGGAAATGGCCCCTAACTGAAACAACAGAAAGAGTAACAGAGGATCAACCTGAATTCGTTCCACTGCGGCCCAATTCCTCAACATCTCAGGTTCAACTGCAACTACTGCAACCAGGCAAGATTTAAAACTGTCACCTGCGATATAGCAGCAATATGAATATTCATATTTCTTTTCATGGAATGCATAGCGCAGATATCTGAGGCTCAATTTTAATAAAAACTGACAGGTGGCCCTGAGAGCAATTGCTCGGTTGAGGTGAGGTTCAAAATATGAAAAAAAAAGTCCATCTAAAAAACAATCACAAGGCCATATACATCAACTACTTGCCATATTCTGCAAGGGTCATTATAATAATAATAATATATATATATATATATATGTATATTCCTGTTGAAATTGAATCAAATAAATTTGAGTTAAAATTGAGCTGGATCGGAAAACAATTGCGATCATTAGCATTTTGTGCGACCCAAAAACTAGAGCTGCTTGATCTATCAATATCTCTTGTGATTATGTTTGCTAATTGGAAGGCACAATTTGATGATATATATTAAATGCAAAGGTAACAATGCGTTCATCAACAGCCCCCTCATAAAACTTGTATAGCCGGGGTCCTCATGCTCTAAGTACGCTCAATGCAAAATCAAAGTTATTATATCACTTACCATACACAAAGCACTGAGCAGTAAGCTTGCACTTGGCATATACATTTTCAATCTTCTCAGGAGCTATGTACTCCCCTTGGGCCAACTTAAAAATGTTCTTTTTCCTGCAGTTTAAGAAACCTCAGGCTGCAATGTGAATACTCCATTTACATATCATTTTGTAACCCAAACAAATTACAAGTCTGTAGACAGACACCGATAGTGCACTAAAAAGAATCACCGTAAATTGCAGATCAAATAAGTAATCATATGATATATATATATATATATATATCTATCTCTCTTATATATATATATGGATCCTATGCTATACCATTTAACATGGAAGACAATATGCACAAGAAAAATACCATCTGGAGTGCATATTACAAATACATTTTCTCACAAAATAAATAAGCATCCGAATACTTGAAAAGGTCAACACCAAAATGTCTCGGGCAACTAGCGTACAATAAAAAAAGTAGGTCAGACTCAATGACGAAATAGCAAGAACATAAATAGGTTTAAAACTTCAAAAAGAACTTGAAAAGGAAAGAAAGCAACAAATTTAAAAGCTAACCACAAACAATATGAAATGTTGATAGCGTGCTAAAGAGCAACTCATCCAGCCCTTACACATGGTCTTCTCAACCGCACTTGCAAGCTATCCTTCTAGTGCATGCTGTGCAAGTCCTATGATGCTCGCTTCGTGATACTAGAGTTAACCCAAACCTCAGTAGGAAAAACATATATTATTACTGAAAACAAATAGGCGGTAACAATCAACACACTATAAAGAGAAATTACAACAACCATGACACGAACTCACGCTAGGGATCGATCCATGGGTGGTGGAGGTTGGCTTGGTGGCTGGGAAGAGAAGTTAGATGGATGAAATGGGGTTGTGGATGGTTGGAACAACCAAAGGAGTAGCTAGAATCTCATTGGCAACAAGGAAGAATGGACAACAAGGGTAACAAGTGAGGTGGTTAGCAGAGCGGCAAATTAGGAAAGGCTGGAACAGTCAGGGGACAATAGGAAAACAACATGTTTACTATTTTCCGGATGATGACAGAGAAGGAGTGGGGGGGTGGCAAGGGGAAGCTGTATAAGATGGGTGCAACGAGCTAGAAGGGTTGGAATAGGAAGACTCCAGTAAAAAACAGTAAAATTTGAAGTCCTGGGTGCAACTGCAACGTGGAAGGATTACTTGGAGTGGCGGGGTGTGATGGGGGAAGTATAAATCACCACCTAGAAACAAAGATACAAACCCAAATACTACTTGGAACCCTAGTATACAACCCTCGAAGAGAAGAAAAAATACTAACGGTTGTCCCGATACAAAACACACCCAAAATTGCATTCCCAAACCTTAATACATCACATTAATAGAAAATGACTAAAAATGAAGCAAGGAGAATAAGAAATAAAGCATAAGAAAGGAAAGCGGGAGTATATCAACGCCTCTCGCGATATAATTTCCCACGGTACTATAGCAGCTACAATATCGTGATTTTTTTTTCTTGATATGCTCCTGCGTCAGTCTATTGAGATTAAGGAAGCTTCGACTTCATTCGCCCAAGCTTCTGACTCCTTGCAGCATGGAGTCAAGTGCCACGTTGAAGGAAGCTGAGATATTGTAATCCTCTAGTAGATCGATCATGCAGATGTTGTCGTTCCACAACACGTCTTGATAAAATAAATATGCATCCTCTCTTGGCACATTATGAGCTGGAGCTGCATATAAATTTAAGTTCTCACAATATAACTATTGAGCACTTAAGTTTGAAACCTTCTTCTTCCACTTCTCATACTGATCCAGATGTAGTTGATAAACCAATATTTGAGGATAAAACAATCCTAGGTTGAAATATGTGGCAGGTTGCACCATTCTCGTTAACAACCACTCATATAATGTCTCTTCACCACTGATATAATCTAGATCTCATTGAAATATTTCCTTCCCTATCAAGCTCCTAAAACAAATTTTAAGGCCGAGTTTTATCCCTCCTGTTTGGACATCTGATGATGAGTACCATGCTAAACTGAATCTAATATCTGAATAACTTCATTTAATCTTCCAGACGTGACACAAAATGACCTCATTTCTAACATGTTGCACCTTCCTCAGTAGGGGCAACTCAAGAATGAGTCTAAATATATAAACGGTTTGCATATCTCTTATTTGGGGTTGTCATGCCCCTGGTATCAGTTCCTCGAGCTCAATACTACCTTGGACACTCACCTTTACGTCGATTGGAGTCTCTCCCATAAGCTCAGCTCAAACTATGTGCATCTTTTCTTCAAATAGAAGTTGATTCTCCTCCTTTGTGCCCTCACCGTCTTCAGTGTCTACTGTGTCATTGCCCAATTTTTCAAGCACGACCTGCTCAGTGAAACAGAACCCCTGGTTGAGCAGTCCGATTCAACATGCTTAAATCCGTGGCACTTACAACACTTCATGGTTGGGACAGATTTAAGGGGTAGGGGCGGCTATCCAAGACAGGTCCAACAAGCTAAAAAGGCTGGAATGGGAAGACTGCAGTAAAAAAAAAAACAGTAAAATTTGATGTCCTGGGTGCGGCTACAGCATGGAAGGATGACTTGGAGCGGCAGGGTGCAATGGGAGAAATATAAATCACCACCTAGAAATCAAGATACAAACCAAAGCACCACTTGGAACCCTAGGATACAATGCTCGAAGGGAAGAAAAAACGCTAACGACTGTCCCGATACAAAACACATAAAAAATTGCATTCCCAAACTCTAATACATATCACATTAATAAAAAAGGACTAAAAAGGAAATAAGGAAAATAGTGAATAAAATGTAAGGAAAACAGGTTATTTCAGCGTCTACCGCGATATAATTTTTTGCGGTGTTGTAGCAGCCACAGTACTACGATTTGTTTGTTTTTTTTTTTATATATAAGCTCTCGTATCAACTTCTCGAGATTGGGGGAGCTTCCACTTTAGTCGCCAAAACTACTGGTTCCTTATAGCACAGAGTCCAGTCTGCCAAGTTGAAGGAAGCTGAGATATTGTAATCCCTTAGTAGATCGATCATGTAGATGTTGTCATTCCACAACCCATCTTGATAGAATAAATATGCATCATCTCTTAGCACTTCATGAGCTTGAGCTACAAATAGATGTAAGTTCTCACAATATAACTCTTGAGCCCTTAAGTCTGAAACCTTCTTCTTCCACTTCTCATACTCAGCAAAATGAAGTTGATAAACCAATATGTGAGAAGAAATCGACCCTGAGATGAAATCTGTGGCAGGTTGCACCACTCTATTCAGAAGAGGCCTGTTCATCACTGATAGGACCTAGATCCCATTGAAGAATTTCCTTCCCTATCAAGCTCCTATGACAAATTTTAAAGTTGGGTTTCATCCCTCTTGGCTGGACATCTGATGATGGTTACCATGCTGAACTGAATCTAATATCTGAACAACTTCATTTAATCTTCCAGACATGACACAAAAGGACACCATTTCTAACATGTTGCACCTCCCTTATTAGGGGCAACTTAAGAATGAGTCTATATATACAAGATGGTATGGATATCTCTTATGTGGGGTTGTCATGCCATTGGTATAAGTTCCTCGAACTCAATACAGCCTTGGAAACTCATAGTTACATCGGTTGAAGTCTCTCCCACAAGCTTAGCTAAAATTATGTGCATCTTTTCCTCAACTAGAAGCTGATTCTCCTTCTTCTGTGTCCTCACCATCTTCAAAATCTACTGTGTCATTGCCTAATTTTTCAAGAACGCCCAGCCCAGTGAAACAGATTTCCCCCTTGGTTGTGCAGTCTGATTCAACATGTCCAAATCCGTGGCACTTACAGCACTTCATGATTGGGTCAGATTTATGAATGCAAATTGGTTCCACTCCGACTCAGCTTTTCTCTAACGTAGTCAACTTGAATGTTTTCCAAGGAGTAATCTAATTGTAAGATCCTGAGATTGAGTATTGCTTGTAAGACATGGTCGTCGCTCAGTGATGTGAAATCTCCACTTCTAAAGTTAGAGTCTAAACTTTCTGTCTATAATATGCTGATAGGAAATGGTGATGGATCTCCCGCTTCACCTTCAAATTCTCCTATTCTCCATATGTTGACTTTTCTCTCGGCCTCCTCTGATATTGGATTCCAAAGCGTCATGGCATTTCGTCTTCATCACTGAAATCCTCCCTATGAAAGGGGTTGAAATTTTCATCCATTTTTCCTTTCAACTTTCCCTATCACCATCGAAGGTAAGTTCCCCCTGAGTGAATGTCCGCTAATCACCGCTGAAATCAGCGTACCTCTCGTTGTATCTCTTCTCGGGTAGCTTCGAGTATGTATTTCATTGGTGGTGTATGACTAGAGTTTAGAATTAAAAGGTGAAAGAGGGTGAAAAAAAATGATTTAGGGTTACGTCAATTTTTGGCTGTGATTTTAAAAATAGGAAATAAAATTTTTGGTTGAGGGGTAAGGGAAAAGCTAGAAAACCGTAGAATAAGACTAGAGATAGGCTAGTTTTGATACCAAAGTTAATTAAAACCACGATAAGAAAAACATATATTATTACCAAAAATAAATAGGAAGTTGCAATCAACACATTAGAAAGGGAAATTACAATAAACATGACATGAACTCACGCTAGGGCTTCACACATGGGTGGTGGAGTCGGCTGGGTGGTTGAGGAGCGAAGATAGAAGGTTGAAATAGGGTAGTAGATGGTTGGGACAGCCAGAGAAGGGGATTGAATCATGTTGGCAATGAGGTGGATGTTGGGACAACAAGGACAATAGGTGAGATGGTGAGCGGAGCGGCGAAGTGCGGTAGGAAAGACTGGAACAACCAGAGGACAACAAGAAAACAACAAATTTACTGTTTTTTGGATGACGACAAGAAGGGCTGGAATGGGAGAACTATCATGAAAAACAAGAAAAAGTTGTTGTCCTGGTGGCGGTTGCAGCAAAGAAGAATGACGTGGAGCAGCGGGGTGCAGTGGGGGAAAGATAAATCACCACCTGGAAACTAAGATTAGGCCAAACACCATTTAAAACCCTAGGATACAACCCTCGAAAGGAATAAGAGGCGTCGGCAACTGTCCAAACACAAAACAAACAAACA